TATGAGATAAATAAATGTTTAACTTAACATAGAACATCAGGAGGAAATAAAACGTATCCCAAAACTAACATGAACGGGGAAAGGAAGTAATATCAAGAGATGTTAACCGATAAACCAGATACGATCGAACAGAATTAACAGTAAACTGAAGAAGGAACATGTTAAACAACATAATTATACTCAATAATAATAAGTAGTATAAAACTGAAGATAAAAAAAAAGAATATACAAAGTTAACGTTACAAGGGGGGTAAGCTAGAACACGGTAGGAGAGGAATTAGCATAAATAAAGTTTATTTGAATGCGTAAATTATTTTTAAAGTAGATGGATGCGAAATCACACTAAGAAAATGCATAATAAAAACAAGAGGGTAAAAGAAGCTTAAAATAATAACAACTCTAACAAATTAGTATTACTGGGTAATGATTGAAGGTGAAATGAAAATCCTCACCGTGGCCCAGTTCGAACCATCGACCGCCAGGTTTTCGACCTGGTTCTCTACCAACTGATCCATGAGATCTGAATGCTAACCAGGTTTTTACTTTATTTCAATCAATAAGAGTTTTGACCGACTAGCATGTGAATTCGTGGAGTGTTACTACCGCCTGATTTTACACACTGGCTGCTTAGTTAGGACTTCTCATCCCTATCCAGATTTATCTGAATTAGAGAGGGGGAGCATCATACTGATAATCAGTTGAAAGAAGGTTAAAGATTGTGCGACAAAGAATCATGATACAAGCAACTTCAGTTGATGAGATACCTAGAGGAAGTAGAATAAACAATTAGGTGAAACGTATTCAACATGTGTAACAAAGGAAGAGAAATGATCATGGGTAGAGATGCACTCGGTGAAACGAATGAGAACGGAGAACTGTTTGCAGATTTCTGCGCATTGAAAGACTTGGTGATTGGAGGCAGTGTGTACAAACACAAAGATATTCACAAAACGACATGGATTTGATCTCACCAGATGGACACACTAAAATCAGGTCGACTTCATCTCAATCTCAAGAAAGTGGAGACGTAGTCTACTGGATACAAGATCAAGAAGAGGAGCAGATGTAGGTCCAGACCATTGTCTAGTGCAAGGAACCTTCCAAATCAAGTTGAAAGCCTTCAAAGAAGCTGGTGATAGACCACAGTTTAAGTTCAACACCCAGAAACTGAATAACGAAACTACAAAGGACATCTTCACGTCAGTCAGCCATCAGAACAAAATAGAAGATGTTGAGCAACATCCCTGAAGGACCGGGCGTGGGAGAACATAGGAAATCTTTGGAAGAGATGTGGAAAGAAAGACAAGGAATGGATCTCGACGGACACATAGAAGCTGACAGAGGGGAGAGAGAAAGATGGTGAAGTAGAAGATGAACCAGTGTAGTGCAGTCCAGGGATCAACAACGAAAAGAGAAACTAAACACAACCTATAAAACACTACACTGGACAAAGAAGTGAAGAAGAGTTCACAGAAAGATAGAAGACGCTTTTACGACACAATGGCAAGTGAAGCAGAACACTATATCTAATAACCAGGTTACTATCTGAGAAGAGATCAACACAGCACAGATGAAACCAATGAAAGGTAGTGAAGGAAACCTAAATACCAAAGAGGAGAAACAAAGGAAATGATGGACTGACCACTTCAAAAAACTCTTGAGTCGACCACCACCTGCAACTTGTTCAGAAATATCACCAGCAGCCCAGCCACAGAACGACCAGTGAACACAAGCCCTCCGAAAAAAGCAGGAGTGAAGTCGTTGAACATCATAAAGTTGCTAAACTCCCAGAAAGCAGCAAAACCAGGTGGAATTCCACAAGAAGCACTGAAAACAGACACAGAAACAACAGCGGTGGACATGCTCACACCCTTATTGCAGAAGGTTTGGAAGTAAGTAAGTAAGGTACCTGGTGATTGATTGGAGAAGGGCTACCTTATCAGCGGACTCTCAAAGAAGCGAGACCTATGTATTTGCAAGAACTGGCGCGGATTCATGCTGCCGTCCACAACAAGCAAAATATTAAGCCGCATCATCCTGGAGAGACTAGAAGATGCGCTGCATCCGAAATTACGAGGCAGAATGGCTGGCAGGCCTCAGGAATAACAAATCATGTGCGGATCAAATTGCAACACTACACTAGGCATCACCATAGGACAGAGAATAGAATGCCAGTCAACTCTCCACCTCTACTTCATCGATTTTGAAGAGGCCTTCGGCAGCGTTGACCGAGAAATAATTTGGCAGGCAGCTGCTTCAACACTACGGTTTCAGTGCTACATACCTTTATCAACCTCATTCAGCTACTAACTATATGACGACGCCACATGCGAAGTGATTCACAATGGAAACTTCGGTGACGCCTTTGAAGTGAAGACAGGAGTAAGACAAGGCTGTCTACTATCACCAATGATCTTCCTGATTGTGGTGGACTTGACTGGATCACGCATCTGACAACTGTGAGGAGCGAGAGGATTGGCATACGCCGGTTGGATCAATGAAAAGACCACAGAAGAAGATTTGGATTTCGCCGATGTTGATTTATGTCTAATGTCGCACCAACCCGAAGATCTACAGGCGAAAACCAAAAAGTTGACAGAAGAGCCGAGGCAGGGAAGACGAGAATTCAAGTGAAAGTAGAGAAGACAGAGGTGATGAAGATACCCAACCAACACCACCAACAACAACAACAAGCTCTAATCACCATCATCGGGGAAAATTTAAAGGAATTCGTATGTCCCACTAGGAACCCAAGGGACAAATAGTAATAAAAATAATAACATTCAACATGTGTACAAGAAATACAGATTTCACAAAACGTTCTATACAAAATATATTATACAGTTAATCACTGCTACAACAATACACTACAGTAGGTAATTCACACGCTTTTTTCTTTAGGAATATTGACATTCTCTAAAATATTCTTTCTATCTAAGTGGTATGCTGATAAAGCATCTGTTCATCAGGCAGGGCCATATACATACAAATAAAGCATAGAAGTAACCAGTATGTACAAGTGCTTCCATATACTGATGTATACATATTATATGCTATATTGTACCGATAAAATCTTTATATCAAGAAAAAATTATTATTATTATTATTATTATTATTATTATTGTTATTATTATTAGTCCCTTGGGTTCCTAGTGGAACATAGGGCTTCAGTAGCACGTCTCCAGTACACTCTCTTCTCTGAGATCTTTCGAACCTGGCTCCACGGCAGCCCAGAAGCTCTCATTTCCTCCTCGCACGATCTCCTCCATGTCACCTTCACCTCGGACGTCCAACTCGTCGTTTCCCATGGGGATTCCACTCGAGCAACTGGCCTGACTTGTGATGTCCTCAGTCGGCCTTCTCAGTGTATGCCCAATCCATCTCCACTTCCTTCCACTGCATATTTGTTGGGTGATAGGTTCTTGGTTGGTTCGTCACCAACCAGAGTTCCCTGTTGCTTATTCTTACTATTCTGACCATCTGATCTGATCTTCAGTATCGAGTGAGAGTAGGTGCAGCTGTTGATGAATGTCTGTAGTTTATTGGAAATCCCTTTCGTGTTGAAAACCCGGATCTTGTTCTTTATGCTGAGTGCAGAAGATCTCCACACTGGTTTCAGGCTAATGAACGCCTGTCTTGCCGCGTTTCCGATCCTGGTTGCATTGACATCCTCGTCTGTGCCGCCTGTAGTTGAAACAGTGCTGCCTGCCTAGATAGGTGAAAGAGGTTACTTCCTTTAAGTTTCTTCCGTTGATGGTGACTGGAGTTTGTTGTTGTTGTTGTTGTTGGAGTTGGAGTTGTTGGTGCGGTATCTTCATCACCTCTGTCTTCTCTCTATCCACTTGAAGTCCTGTCTTCGCTGCCTCTTCTGTCAACTTGTTAGTTTTCGCCTGTAGATCTTCAAGTTTGTGTGACAAGACATCAGGCACAAGTCATCTGCGGCGAAATCCAGATCTTCCAGGTTCTTTTCCGCAGTCCAGCCAGCGTATCCCCCTCTTCTTGCTCCTCACTGTTTGCTACATGATCCAGTCCACCACAATCAGGAATATCATGGGGGATAGTAGGCAACCTTGTTTCACTCCCGTCTTCACTTCAAAAGCATCACTGAGCTTCCCATTGTGAATTACTTGGCTGGTATGTGGCGTCTTCATATAGTTGTTGAATGAGGTTGATAAAGGTTTGCGGTACTCCGTAGTAATGAAGTGGTTTCCAAATTACTTCTCGGTCGACGCTGTCAAATGCCTTCTCAGAGTCGATAAAGTTGAGGTAGAGGGTTGATTGCCATTCTATGCTGTTCTATGATGATGCGAAGCGTTGCAATTTGGTCGGCACATAATTTGTACTTCCTGAAGCCTGCCTGTTCCTGTCGTAGTTTTGAATCCAGTGCATCCTTAAGCCTCTCTAGGATGATGCGGCTTAGTATTTTACTTGGGGTGGACAGGAGAGTGATTCCAGAAAAGATCACTGATAAACCAATTTTCTTGGTGGTGGCTATCAGGGGGATCCACGATGCATGTTATATCCCATTTGGTGTTTTCCAGACGGAGGCATCTGCTAGATATCAGCGTATGACGATGTCTCCACCGAGACTCGAATCATGCACCCAGAGCTCCCAAGCACCAGAACATTATCCACTAGACTAATGAGGTACAATCGCTACACTTTGTGCAGTGGGTAAGGGTTTTTATTGACTGATACTTTTAACTTCCCATCGTTATAAAGGATCAAACTGATCGACTTCTGTTGACATATGGACTCCTAAACCATTATCGTGCCCTATTAGCCTAGTGGAGAACGTTCTGGCGTTTGAAGCGATAGTTATCGTGGTTCGGGTCTCAGTGAAGTCCAGATACAGCCGGATGATGAGTCCTGGAAGTGACGGAAAGGTCGTCTTGGATTCCTTTTGTAGCCACAACCAAGTACATTGAAGTTGTTGTAAAACGTCGCAGTCCATACAAATGTGAATGTATCCTTATCCTCTGCATCTTTTTGTTTTATAGGAAGATACAAGTCCACTTTATCAATACTGTCTACAACTAACTCCACATAGCACGTACATGGCGCCAGAGTTAAAACAACCAAGTAATTATTCACCATTTGAACCAGGCATAAGTATGACTGTACGATTCAATCCACTGAAAACTCGTTCAGGTGATATGGACTTATTAATTATGCAACCTGTAAGTGTATTGTAATCAATTTATAATATGTTCCTTGCAACGTGTCCCTAGAATAACTTTAAAATCTACTCTGATAACTAGTAAGACAGCCAATTAAATCCCGGGGAAAATACCGAAACCTGATTGATTGTCTCACTGGTTGCTGGAGTAACCTTTAAAGTCACTGGGTCCCTAAACATCCTGGTTTTCATTCTGATTGGAACAGCCGGAAACAGTTATCTTGTTGGATATATCTTCGCCGACAAGTATTTTAACTCCCATTGTTACTACTGATTAAATGAAGTTTTGGCCTAGGGCTAGTGAAAGTACAAGTAAACTGGCTTGAAAACTATATCTATTTCGGAAATATATATATTTGAAAAAGTTAGTCCTTGATTAATCATTGTAGAGCAATCAATCTCATTTTATCCAGTCCTGGGTACTGATTGAATTCTATTGCTCATTTTGCAATATGGCCAGCGCAATTAGTCATCCCTATAAATTTTGATAAACTGGTAAGAAGATGAAGGTTTATCTAAAATATGTGATGTATTAGCACAACATATATTGCGAGCAATTTAATCCATATAATATGGGGTCGAATTATTTGTCTAGACAAAAAGAGAAAGATAGTGTAGTGGGTGCTACTGATAAGTAGGGATATAAGTAGTATGTAGATATTAAGATGTCGGCAGAAATAATAGGCGATTAACAGCGATGAATAAATATTCTCCCCAGAGAAAAGCAAGTGAAAATGTAGGCGTATGAATAGCAAATTGAGATAGAAGCAGAAGAGGAAATGAAGTACATTGTGCAGATGACTGTTTTAGTGGAAAGCGCACAATATTTCATCAGTACTGTACAAGATGTCAATAATAAACATACCTTCCTACGTCTCAGTCTTGTCGTTTCTTACGATATTACTGAGCTCATCTATCGTTATATTTAATATAGAAATATACTAGTAAATACGTGACAGGATTGTTTTAAATTTGTTGCCTTAATAAATCACTTCTTATGGTTTTGTCAAATTTTTATAAAACTATGCGCTACTATACAACAAGCAACTCTAAAGGCACTCTTGCAATGACTGAAATAATCATTTAGGTTTTTCTGTTGTGAAAGTAGATTTTCGTAAAATAAACAAGTTTAATTTGTTATTTCAGCTATTGCTAATGTGGCCTATCGAGTCATGCTTGTACAACAGTCGGAAAGATGAAAAATATATTACTTATTTATGAAAGGTAAAAAGCATACTAAATAACAGTAATTTGGACAGTTCGATGTGTTAGCTCAGTTATACTCAGGTACTTATAATAGAGAAAGAATGGTAAACGAAGATCAGCTAGAGGTTGTAGGCGTTTAGATTTTGTTAATAGGCCTTATCTCTTGACAGAAGAGGCAGCGAAAACGTGACTTCAAGACAGCATCGTTTCAACTAGAGTCGGCAGCGGCACAAACGAGGATGTCAAAGCAGCCAGGATCGGAGAGACAGCAAGACAGCCGTTCATCAATTTGAAATCAGTGTGGAGATCTACTGCACTCAGCATGAAGAACAAGATACGGATTTTCAACACCAATGTCAGTCAAACTAGTCACTGCTTCTGTGCAATGGTTCAGAAACTTAGCGCATCACGAAAAGCATTTCCAACAAACTACAGACATTCATCAACAGCTGCCACCTACTCTCACTCAATACTGAAGATCAGATCAGATGGCCAGAATAGTAAGAATAAGCAACAAGGAACTATGGCTGGCTGACTGGTGACGAACCAACCAACAACCTATCTCCCAACAAGTATGCAGAAGAAAGTGGAGATGGACTGGATAGGCATACACTGAGAAAGCTGATTGGGGACATCACTCGCCAGGCCGTCGAGTGGAATCCCGAAAGGGGAAACGACGAGTTGGGCGTCCCAGCTGAAGGTGACATGGAGGAGTTGGTGTGAGGAAGAAATGAAAGCTTGTGGGCAGTCGCGTAGTGAGGTTGGAAAGACTTCAGAGAAGAAAGTGCAATGGAGGCGTTCTACTAAAGCCTTATGTCCCACTAGGACAGCGAGGGAAAAATAATATATTAATAATGTGATAAGGAACTCAACAATAAAAGGATTCAATGCTTAGAAGGCTATTTGAGATGAGACTAACTGAATAATGATCCTTATTTTTAATTGAAGTACCTATGAAAACCTTAGTTTCTTGCAAAAGAATCTACATATACGAGAGGGAAACTGAAAAAATTCTGATTCATAAGTAGATTCGAACTTTGAAAAGGTTCATTGACGCCACTGATTGAAGAGATGTAGTTGTTACTGCCGGTATCGAATCTTGACATAAAAGTGTACAAAGCATACAACTATCAGAGCCTGTGAGAAGAAACATAACTAGCACTTGTCTGTTGAAGTCTCTCGTGGCCAGTATACTACTAGTGGCTCAGATTTTTCTACTCCTTTCAATTTTTGACATAGTATGACCATCATCTTGTGTCATCCGAGAGTATTTATTCTCATATCTGACTTGGTTCACTTCAAAAGTTATGGTTTTCCATAAAAGTTAGAGGAGTTTATCTCAAAACAATCTAGTTAAGAATCTCTTTACCAAAAAGAAACTGCAGTTTATTGCATTCAGGTTTTGAATAGTTCTTCAATTGATATCATTCTGTGATAAATGTCACCTTGTCACCAATCAGTTTCCATAATGAATAAAATAAACATCATTCAACCTCTTTTATACCTAATTCAAAAGTATAAATCAATATATTGTTTTTTTCTCACTTGTATTTTTTTTTTCTTTCACTAAGGGTCATGCTGAATGGATACGTATATTTCTTACAGAAGATCATCGTTTAGGTATTGTATTACCAGGAGCTAGTAAAGGGCTCTATACTAGAACATCATTAACTTCACGTGCAATTAATGATCCTTATGCAAATTTATTGAATTTAGAATTAGCTGAATATTTAAATATGACATCAGTTCTTCCGGTATGGAATGTTTTAAGCAAATCAATATCTTCACCTTCATCATCATTATTAACACCACTTTCAACAAGTACAACAATACCAGTCAACCAGTTTGAATCTAAACAGGCTGAAGTAGAAGTTGTTATTACATTGTATTTTGGTTCAGCTGATACAGAACAATTGACTGTATTATTTGATCAACGTATTGTACAATCATGGAGTATACCAAAACAACCAGATGTTAGGAGTATACGACAAATTTATATTGGACCACAATTAGCACCAATCTATCCAATTACCATTAATTACTTAATTATTGGTAAACAGTAAGTTTAATTAACATTTTCTTCATTTCCACTCTTCTTACCGTTACAAAGTTGTACTGAAAACAATGTCTAGTGAGATATTTAAACGTCTGTTAAAAAATATCAACTTAAAAAGCACTTCATTGTGTTTAATGAAATAAAATCAGCCAAGTGAAAGGGGACTTAAGAAAATCTTTACCATGATTTAACTTGATTATGATAATAATTGTCTACAGTTCACGTTATGCACATTTCGGTATTGTCATTGTTTTGTAAGCTTTGGTTTTATGAATAGATCTCATAATCTTGTTTTAGTCATTCTCATCATTTGATTAATTATCATTTCATGCATACAATAGTATAAGTTTTGATCCTAAAACAAGTTGTTAAACCGTTAGAGTCGATGATAACTAGTTAGGCAAGGACTTTCAATAAAAGTGAAAAGCAGGATTTAATGAATTCATAAATTTCAGTAGTACTCGTCAGCTGGATGATACTCTACATACTTAATTATATATACCGTTAAACAATGGGAAAGAGCATACATACATACATATATAACGTGAACTGGGACAGATTTAGGTGTAACAACATAGGGATTTTTAATTTAGGAGTAGTATTCATCACGGACTGACATCAGTTGGGGAACCATTGAAAGCCTGAGAGCACTTGACAGCTGTTTCGTCCTAGTATGGGACTCCTCAGCAGTACGCACCCACGACCCGGCCAGGGCTCGAGCCCAAGACCTTCAGGTTTCACGGCGAACGCGTTCATCATCCAGCCACTGGGTTGGTTTCCAGTGGGGGTCAACCAGTCGGAAGGGAAGTGAATGATAACTGAAGACCTTGGGTGACAGTCGCGCTATGTCGTGAATTAACACAATTTGGAAATTATGAACTGTTGGTAAGTGACCCAGTGGCTGGATGGTTAACGTGTTCGCCGTGAGACCTGAAGGTCTTGGACTCGAGCCCTAGCCGGGTCGTGGGTGCCTACTGCTGAGGAGTCCCATACTAGGACGAAACAGCTAACAAGTGATCCTAGGTTCCCAATGGTTCCCCAACTGATGTCAGTCCATAATGAATACTACTCCTAAATTGAAAATCCCTATTCATCTCAAAAATGCATTATTCACTTCTATGTTGTTACACGCTATATATGTATGTATGTATGCTCTTTCCCATTGCTTAACGGTATATATAATTAAGTATGTAGAGTATCATCCAGCTGACAAGTACTACTGAAATTTATGAATTCATTAAATCCTGCTTTTTTCTCAGTATATTGACATTGAATGGAATAATCATAACACACCTAAATAATGCTAACAATAACAGTATTACAAAAAACAAGATGCAACAATCGATTGGTATTAGGTTATCTTGTCTTTAGGTACGTTGATACAGAGAAGAACGAGTAGGTATGCATGCGTGATGGAGGTTTTGAAAAGTGCCCTTTCTATAGTATATTTTACCAACCTGCGGTTTGTCATGATGTATGTATTTGACTTAATCACTGCTGTTTAAGTCGCCTTCCTCGGTCACTATCTGACTGACTGACAAAATCAAAGTAGAATCTCACACAGCAGTATATTACCTCAAGTTGCCAAATTTCACAGTAGTATACAAAGAATAAGTGCATAGAAAACAAGTGATATCAAAGTAGACAAAGTTTTATGAGAGAATAAACAATTTGGAGATAAAGGTGAGTGCAATTATTCAAGCTTTAAAAGATGTCAAGGACTGAATATATCTGAGCTATTGTGACCGATCTCCTGCTACGTCACCGAGTATCGTCAACCACTGATTCCTTTCATCTCGAAGACCCCAACCAAACAGTCTTCATCTCCTCACATGGCTCAGACCAACAGCAAAATATTTCATTGGCTTAAGCAATATCTTGGTCTTACCACCCCCAACTCTCTCCCAACCTGATTCAGCTTCTCGTAGCATGGCAATTCAAGGCAGTCGGTGACCCGGCCTGCGCAGTGCAAGTCAAAGCCATCTTAGTTGACTAAGTTTCCCAGCCTCATCAATTGACTTGCCTATCTTGGGCAGTACCCTTCGCCTGACCTCGACATTGCTCACAGAATGGTTCCACCAAACGCGAGTAATCCTACGAAGACATCTGTGATCGAAATCCTGTAGTCGCTTCTACTTTCAATGGCCGTCTTACAGCCGTACAACTGAATAGAACGTGTTGCAGCACAGTATACTCGTCCTCTGACTTATAGTCGGATATCTCTTGAGTTGGCGCCACAGATAACACAAGTTGCCAAATGCCAAACATGTCTTACAACCTAGTGTAGTACTATGATCATTATTTTTTGTAGAGTTAGATGAGATCTTTAGAGTGATCCTTTTTCTAAAGATTCCTTCTTGTGACACCTAGGACATAAACTTTCTTTGTTGGTTACAAAGGTTATTTTCATACCACATTCACAATTTGTACTTGTGGCAAGCATTTCAAATGTCTGGAAATAACTAACAATGTAGTCCTCGTCATAATTCATCAGCAGCTTATGAAATGTAAATATCAACCTGACTGGTTGACCCAAGATTTTTGCTGTTATTAAAGCTTAGTTGAACCGAAAATAGAAGTATGTGCGGTGCTTACTTATATAGGCCCTGGTCACACACATTATCCTCATCTTAACAACTCTATACCAAATCTCACCATTTTCTCATTCTCTCTTTCTCTCTTTTAGTACTTTATATTTCTTCTGACTGAATTTTCTCACCTTCATCTTGCACTTCACTGCTTTTCTACCTAATGTACTGATATGAGCTGTGGCAACTCTGACCGTTACTCAGTAGTGCGTGGTCCTATGTTGATATTGATGATGATGAGGCCTTGGTCAACTGATATCAACCATATTTGTCACAACAATGTCTATCAATCCTTTGTGATATCGTGGGCGCAGTTTAACTTTTTAGGTTCTGTGTTTGAAACCCACCTGGTGGAACATCACTGTGAGGATGATATGCGTGTCTTGGAATGTACTACTATCCACCACTAATCATATTTACTTAACTCATCTATTCTGTCTAGAGACCAGATCAACTTCACACAGATAACATGCGATTCTGAAATGGTTCATGGCATTCACACCAGCCATCCTTATTCTTTAATGCCATGACCCATATTACCATCCTATACGTCATCCTTTTAAATGCTACTGCGACTATGCTATGATAAAAATTGTCGTATGACTGAGATTGACTCGACTGTTTGAAACTGTTTGAGTGCTTTGGAATGTTTTCAAAATACAATTACAATTATGATTTGACTATCTAAGATAGCCGTAGTTTGGCAGACTATTATTTGTACTGGATGATGATTGAAGGTGAGATGAAAATCTAGACCACGGCCAGATTCGAACCAGCGACCACCGGGTGGTCGCCTTCACCTTCAATCATAAACCAGTACAATTACAATCCATGTTCTTCCAGCTCCAGTTAGTATGAATTGAGAATTCACGTTTTAACACACCTTTATTCTTCCTATGCCACAAAAATAGCACAGAAAGTAAACTAATAAAATAAGTGACTAGTTTTTAGTGTGAAATTTATGGGGATTTTATTGATTTTAAGGTGACATTCTTCATCGACTGATATCAAATGGATAAACATTACAAACCTGAGAGCACTGGACAACTGTTTCTCCAAAAAATAATCCCAGAATTCTTCTGAAGAAGCTGAGTCTTACACAGTAAAGCGTTCAGAAAAGTCCTGTTTTGATATCCTAGACATGTTGGGATTTTATTGAAACCTATTGCATAATCATGAGATCGGATGCAGTGTACAAATTCCTCAATGATTTTCGAACGGCGTTAATATTTATTTTCTATATTTAAATTATACCACTTACTAATTGCCAGTAGTATTACAAAAATGATCAAAACTTCCGTGTGTTGATGCATTTTGGAATCCTTTTGCTTTGCCTTCAGCCTCGTCGACTTTACTACTGAATTGGTAAGCAGAGATAACCCATATGGGATTCAAGTTGGGACATGTGGTGGTCCATTATATCCCAGATTTACTGAACGTAGAGGTTTAGCTGGAATAATGACAAGTAAACTGCAAGGACTTGAATTATCTGCACCACCAGGTGGACGACAGCTAACATTTGTACCATTCGATGAATTCATGAAAACACAAATTATACCAGGAGTAAGTTATCATGATCAACTGACTTTGGAAAGTATACGCACTGGGGACGGTAAACTGAGGAAAAAGAATGTAAGTTTTATGATTAGAATCTTTTTTTTATAAGAATATATGAAAAGACATTTAGAATTTGCGATTTTTTTATTCTGTTACACGCGCACATACTTGATAATACATGTCAAGTGCTCAACCCAGTAAGAATATATATATCGATGGGAGTATGACGTGGAACAACTTATTGCATATATTCATCCAGAGATTTAATATAACCCACTTGGTGTACTCTGTGTAGAACTACTTTAACCAGATGTAAAAATCTCAGATATTCAGTAGCTGAAATTCTGTTCCACAATATCAATCGCCTATATATTTCTTGAAAAGTTCTGTTCTTTAAGAAAGATGAATGCTGAGTCCAAGATCTAGTGAGTAGGTTACATTTGAAATCATGACACTATTTAATTATTGAACTATATCAGTTGCGCAAATTTCACAATTGGTGTTCATGTAGACGAAGACAAAGAGGGCGACTGACATTTTAAAAAACACAGCTTGATCAACAGCGTTTTCAATGGCATCAAAATTTACAGTGGTAAGGTAATCAAATAACTAACTACCATTCCTGGATGTTTTAGTCAGTAGGACAAATGCCGGAAAGATCGAAACCCAAGTGTACAGGAAGCCAACACACACTGATTGATCAACTCACCAACTACAGTAGCAGCAACCCAACAACGCACAAGATCAGTTGCCTGCAGACTCCAGTCAGAAGAGCGAGAACACACTACAGTGTAGTACAACAACTTCACGGAGAAACGAAGAAAATTACTTGATATCCATTCTAAAGAAGAACGACTACCCAATAAACATCATCATCAGATGTTTATCCCGTACAACATCAATTACAAAGTCATTGACAGAAATCAATAAATGCATCATCCTACCATACATAAAGAATATATCAGAAATCACGAGAAGATTACTGAGACCACTTGGTGGAATCGGTGTGGCTCATAAATCAACAAATTCCCTGCAAGCACTACTATGCAGACCGGAGGATGCATCAACCAGAGAAGACAAACCGAACGTCATTTACAAAATCAACTGCAATAACTGTAGTCAACACTACAATGGACAAAGTGGTCGCCTCTTCACCTTCGTCTACATGAACACCAGTTAGCTATTAAGCGTCACGATATTTCATCACTCATTTCAATGCACATGGATCACAACTATGGACATGAATTTAATTTTGATAATGTAGAAATGTGTGGTAGAGGAAACACAAAAAGCAAAGAGAGTTTCTAGAAGCTTGACATTCAGACCAGTCAGTCAGCAATCAATATATGTATAGACATAGATCCAATCTATCACCCGATGCGACAAGTGATAAACGACAGAAAGGTCAGAGGTGAAGCAGAGTAACAGCCAACAGGAAAATCTATACAGTCGATGATACAACAATCAAAGGAAACAACCAGTCACAAGCCAGTTCGTCAGGGTAAGCTACTAAATCACACACGGAGAAATATTTACAGCTCACTTCCTACTGAAGTTATTGTTGAAGATGTCGTCTAGAAAGATGATGAAAGCTCCACGACTAAACAACCCATCTGAGAGAACACAACACAACCAAGCATGATCCAATGCTCCATGGTTATACTATAACCTACAATTTCTTAGGAAAGTATGACAACAATGAACTTAATAATACCTGTTAACCTCTATTAATAACAGCGTAAAGTCTTCGCGACTATTGAAAGGCATGAATTTAATTTTCTTTGGACATCAGATATGTTGGTCACTCTCTGGGATTTGTACAATAAGTGCTCTGACTATCTAAATACTCGCTGAACTTAAAACTCAATAGACAAACATTAGTGGTGATTTTGTCATCCTCTTAGTGAATGTTTTTGAAGGGAAATTCCACTCACCTGCATTTAATTGGATAACAGATGATTTGATCTAATTAGATTCATGAATGATTATACAAAGATACCAACTTTTGTTTGTTAATCCTTATTAGAAATAAAGGTTAGATTGATGTCGAAGCATATAAAATACGATGATAAATCGGCTAATGATTTAAAAACAGCATGGTGCACATTGACATTTCTCACAGTTGAGTAGTTTTTCAACTGACAGACAACTATGCCACTAGTTAACAGGATTTCTGCTGGAAACTACCCAACCAAGGTTATTCTAACTGGTTAGAGAATTCTACAGATCATCCTGAGTGATTTCTAACTACTCAAATTGTTTAGTAGCATATTTTTTGAAATACTTACTTGTGAAGATTCATTCTGTCACTATAAATGTACCCAGAATTTCCAAGGATCCCCTGTTGTTCTTCAAAGTTCTTTAGCCCAGCTCTTAATATTCTTTAGCATTAATCTCAATGGGCTGATTAAACATTATCATTTGACTATGTGAGATAGCCGTGTTTTGCAGACTAGTATTTATACTTATTGATGATTGAAGGTGAAATGAAAATTTGGTCCGCGGCATGATTCGAACCAGAGACCACTGTGTTTCCGACCTGATTAAACATTGTTCCCTGGAAGATGATTGTTATGGCTGAAGTTATGGTTCATATTCTGTGTAAAATATGATTTCTCATCCTTCATAACAGAAGTTGTGGCTAGAACCAGTGGCCACTGACTTGACGGCCCAGTTCTCTACCAACTAAGTTACAAGAACAAACTCCCGACAAGATTTTTATTTCACTTCAATCACTAAGAGTTTTGCCTGACTGTCAAGTGAATTCATGATGCGTTACTATCAGTTGATGGTACTCAGACTGACTGCCTAGCCTGGACGTCTCGTCCGAATCTAGTTGAATTAGAGCGTGGGGGGAGCATTATATTGATTATCATTCTGACTACCTGAGATAGCTTTGATTTGGCAGACTAGTACTGATACTAGATGATGATTAAGGTAAGGTGAAAATGTGAACCGAATCACCCAGCATGAGTATAATCAAGCCATAGTAGCACGTCACGAATTCATATAGGAGATGGGCAAATTACTTGGTGATTGAAGTGAAATAAAAATCTGGTCTGGAGTCTGCTTTCATAGCTCAGGAAATTTTCATTTGATCTCCAGTCATCACCCAATATCATTACTAATGTGTCAAACCAAGACTATCTCAGATATTTAAAATAAGAATAAATATAATACTGACCAACATGAGTAGTTGTAAACCATTCATGTTAAATTATCCCCATTGATATCAATACTAAGTAAGTGAGTAATAAACGCGTACCTTTGTCTGTAGTTTTATAGGCTATTATCAAGCTGAATTGACCAATAGAATGTGACTGACACTAAGCGTAAGACAATATAAGGCTTGTTCGTATCCAGTACCTGATGAGTTCACTGAATCCACTGTTACAGGAAACTGGTTATGGTTTAGTGAGTTCAGTAGTAATATTTATGATGGCAATGCTGAGTAATTTGGGCTTGGATTGTTAAAAGAAATAGAAGTATGATGTAAAGGCCATCCTAGCATCTACTCAAATAGGCAATTAGGTTTTATTCCTTTCTTCCAGAATGGTAGTCTTTTATAAAATAGTGAAAGCTAATTGGTTTTTTCGATACCCAACCAACAATAAAGCAACAACAAGCTGCAATCACCATCAACGTGAGAAAGTGAAAGGAAGTAGTCTCTTTGACCTATCTAGGCAGGCAGCACTGTTTCAACACAGGTGGCGGCACAGACGAGGACGTCAAAGCCAGGATCGGAAAAGCAAGACAGGCGTTCATTAACCTGAAACCAGTGTGGAGATGTTCTACACTCAGCATGTGGAACAAGATCCGTATTTTCAACACCAACACCGTCAAGTCAGTTCTGCTGTATGGTTGAGAGACTTGGCGCATTGCGAAAGGGATTTCCAACAAACTACAGACATTCATCAATAACTGTCTATGCTGGCTCGTTACTGAATATCAGATGGCTAGAGTAATCAGAATAGGCAACAAGGAACTCTGGGTGGCCGTCAACGAACCAACCAAGAACCTATCACTCAACAAATATGCAGTGGGAGGAAGTGGAGATGGATTGGGCATACACAGAGAAGGCCGACTGGGGACAACATGCGTCAGGCCAGGCTGTCGAGTGGAACCCAGATGGGAAGCGACGAGTTGGGCGTTCGAGGTGAGGATGACACGCAGGAGATCTTGTGAGGAGGAAATGAGAGCTTGTGGGCGGTTGTAGAGCCAGGTCCAAAGGATTTCAGAGAAGAGAGTGGGATGGAGACGTGCTACTGAAGCCCTATGTTCCATTAGAAATCCAAGGGACAAATAATAATAATAAAAATAATATGCTTATCATCATCACCATCATGAGTTAGTTTGCTTTCAATAACATAAGTTGATTAGTCAGTTCATTTCTAATGCATTCTTCATCGCACAACAGACGAGATAAATACGAGCGGTAATATAGAGCTTTTTATATTTTGTAATACGCGTATAAAGTCTTATATATTTGCTTTTTGTCTTTCCTGATGACCGAGTGAAGAGGACGCTGGTCATCTGATAAAATAACTTCAGCTAGAGTTAATATGTATGTCCAAAGCAGTTTCATTTAAAAGGTTTAGAGGTACATCACTGACAACCTTCACAGTCTTACTCACTACAGTATAGTCTTTCCTCAGCAATCCAGGAAAAAATAAAAGTGAACAATAGAGGAGAACAGGTAAGACGTAGGAGTTTGTAAAACATGAGAGGAGAGGCTAAGTTATACTAGATACTCTCAGCTTCATAATCTAGAAAGGTGGATGGAAAATTCTTTTGAAAATTAGGTACACGTACATTATCTTGAGCCAGAATAATTGGCAGCTTTCGTTTACTTTTCTGCTATGAAACGTATTTTTCTCAGCAGATCAAATCAGAGTAGTATTTATTATTATGTATTAATACTTGTAATTCCCCATTGTTATCAACCTTTGTCGACCTCTGTTCATAAATTAATTCCTATGTATATCCATCGATATTGCTTGCAGATTCATTGTTACAGTTGCTTTGATGGTGGCTAGTAGTGAAGCCTAGAATACGAGTATTGTCCTAATTAAGAC